ATGGAGATCCCCTCACGCTTTGATTCGATTATGCTTATGGCCACGTTCTGATGGAATCGCCGCGATGGTCATTTCGCGTCGATTTATCCCTTTATTGGTTTCAGCGCGGCTTACACGTTCGAAATACCATTAAACTGGATCGATGCAGCCCGCGTTAACTGCCGTGCTGAGGAAAAACGCCGTATGAACATTCCAAAGTTGTCAAATTTCCTTCGATAAAGTGTTTATTTTTGAGGACATTTATGAAGTACAGTGCCTTTAAAGGGAGAGTATGGACAGCTCGATTTGTGTAGCTCTTAGGGCCCAAAAGGGCGACAACGTAAAAAACGAAAGTCACTATACACTGTGCACATAGTTCCGTTTGACAGAACGTGAAATCCCGCTTCTCCAATTCAGCAAACGGAACTGTGAGCCAACTAAGTGCGGCACCCATGAGCCATGTGCATGTGTCTAGAGCGTTGTGAACAGGGCTCATGAGTTAAAGACCGCCTTTCCGATCCTCGTTGTCGCTGACGTCACTGGCGCTTTATATTTCTTATTCATTCTTATGGCCCGAACACCCACGAGTACACCCTATCTTTCTCTCTGCACATAGTTTTGTTTGATGAAAATACGTCCAAATTGTCTCCTACGTAGGCTTTTGCACAGAAAAAATGATTTTTTTACCCATTCAGACTTTGACTAGTGACCCATCGTCATCCAACTCTCCAACACTTGGACGTATTTCTATCAAACGGAACTATGTGTATAATGACGTGAGCCCTGAGCCCCATAAGAGTATATGCATAACAGGGCTCACGTCATAATGCACATGGTTCCGTTTGATAGAAATACATCCACTTGATACTCAACTAGATATGTGTTTATACATTACCCGAGAGAGGAATAAAACTTCTCCAATACTACAAGGTGTTGTTTTAATGAAATAAAACGTGCAAAAATTTCATCGAGAGAATGAGAGTTTGAGTTTGGAGCCGAGTATTCCTCGAAGGACTCTCTGGAGAGGTGAAATTCACTGTTCGTAAACACGCCAGCGTCCGTGGGAATATTGCGTTTTACGGTCTCGTGAGTAAAAGCGTTTGCCGTTCGGTTTTTCTGTGACATGCAGGAGGTGCGAATCTCGGATCGTGTTCATTTCCAACAGGTGAGATGCTTGGGTCCAGGAGGACCAATCATATACCTATAGTTTCTAAAACTCTACGCAGTCTTTCATCGAGCTTGTCGAGAGGGTTGTCGCTTGTTGCCGCTCACTACTGATTATAGTAAGGACGTATCTTGTTTCCCACGTGAGCCCTGTTCTCCATGTACTTATATGATTTCTGGGGCTTATGTGGAATTAGAGATACGCTCTTACGTCAGAGGAACGACGACATGTCCACTTACAGATAGGGCCGGATTTAGGAGTTTTAGAGAAATTTAGAGAGCGGCCAATTTTGCAATTTTTTTAAATGTAGGTATCAGAAANAAAAAAAAAAAAAAAAAAAAAAAAAAAAAAAAAAAGAGACGAGAAAAATAACAAGCGACTAAAATAAACAAAGAAGTAAACATGAGTAAAATGAAAAACAAGAAATATTACAGGAAAATAAAAGTATGAGAAAAAAAGACCGGGACATGACGGAAAGAAAAATGTTTGACTGGTTCTTTTGTTCTGAACCTGATTATAAAAACTACATGTAATACTATTTTCATTTAATACTGCAAAGGTAGTTTGACTTAAAGTAAAAAGAGACTCTTGATAACAATGTTCCATACAGAGAAACTATTATGTTGGCAAGGATTCTTTTTTATAAAACTCTAAGTCAGGTAGTTTATTTCCACCATAGTAAAAAAAAAGAAAAAAAAAAAGTGTTATTTCTCATACATTTCAGTGAACAGTATGATAGATGTGTAGGTACACAGAGTATTATTGGGGAGAAATTTAGCTAGCAAAGACTGCTTATCTGAGTATATCGCACAACAAAGCGAACTTTTTATAGTCCCAAAGCTGGAAAAATTCACTGAGGTAGTATAAAGTTACTAGAATAATACGTTTTAATGTGCTCTTGAAGCTATTTTCATTTTCACAGCAAACTAAATTTTCTACACATAAAAAGGACAATTTTATCAAAAACTTTTTTAAGAATGAGCTCTTCATTCATAATAAACAGAGACAAATTTTTAAGTGGAAATATGTACACCTACACAAGATCTGGGCATATCACTCATTGAAAATTAGAAACCATCAGAACTTCGAAAATAGGTTTGCCTTGGATATCAAATCATTAAAGTCAAAGAAAACATCAAATAGGGCTTTTAAAGAAACATCTGAGTGTACTATTACCAAAACGAATAGTTAATTGATCGAAAAAATTGTCAGCAAAATAATAAAAATCAACATCGTAAAACTGAATCATTCAGCTTTTTAAGTGTATTTGTCTTTAAGAACTGAAATGTTGTTGAAAAATAAAAATTGACTTATGCCGAGAGAGTATCGGCAAATCTAGGTGAATCTCTGGGTCCAAAAAACCTTATCTTCAAAATATTCTTTGATGCGGTGTTTCGACTGACTAAAAATAGTTTGCGAGTGATGTTACTTGTGCACATGAGAATTCAAAATACATAATACTGAAAAAAAAACTGAGACCGCCCTATTTCAACGTTAGGTTTGTTGAATTTAATGAGGATAACAAAATGAAGTGAGGAAAAATCAACGAATATTAATTACAAACAAAAAATAACTGGACAAAATCCTGAACAGAAAACAGGTTTTGTGCATCTAAGAATTAGCGATGAATATAAATTACATACATCGAAGCAATTCTTTGTGACACTTACACTTATCGAAAGCGCTTATTTGGACTGGTTACCATATCATTATCACCATCTCCGCCTGACCCGTAGCCTGATTCTGGAGAGCCGAAATCACTTTTCCGCTTACGGTCCGGTAGAGGTATACTTCTGGAAGGAAACAATAAGCTCGATTAGGAAGTACTAGAAACGAGATGATGCACTATTCAAGCATAGGTATTTTGTGCTATTATTTATGGAATACTTACCAGAAGTTATTTTTCAGAGGCAAAGCTCAAAAGCTTTGACGGTGAGTCACTCAATGGGACAGTGGCACAAATTATTTTTAGTTTATCTGCTAAAAGTGTAGAGTGAACTAAGCTTCTAGGAATTTTTTAGATATTTTTTTAAACCCCAAAATTTGAAGGGTAAAGAAACTCATTTTGAAAATGCCAGTAATGAGATCCGTTTAAAACGCTATTTTAGGCGGGCACTGATGATGTAGCTAGATGGGAGAAGTAATGTTTGATGATTAGCTGAACTTATCTTCAAGCATATTAATACATTTATTGGCTTTTAGCTCAATCTTTGCATCAAATAGCATAGCCAGCAAAGTTTGGCATCTTAATGTGTTCATACATTCCTACATCAACTCGACGGTCAGCTTTTGATTAATTGGATTTTGATTTTGAAAATTATTTTTTAAACTTCCTAATAAACATTTTAGTTTGAACTGATCTGTAGTGTATTGTATAATTGAGTGATAAGGTACATTCATAGGTCCAGCTATGGTCAATCAGTTCATATGCTGTTGAGCAATGATATTCAAAATCAATAAAGTCAATAGTATTTTACCATAATTGAGAAATTGACACAAACTTAGGATGATTTGGATCAAGTTAAATAGAGACACACCATTTCACATTAAATTTGCATTGAGAAAAAGAGGTTTACAGTTAAAAACCTTCATAGGACTCAAGTGTTCAGGAAAAATTTTAACGACTATTTTCAATTACGTTCAAAATATTCTTTCTGGCCTTTTAATTTTTGGGAGGAGAAAATTTACGACTGATTAGATACCAGACTACTCCAGCACTGACTGACTCTAAATTTTTCAGCTAGCCTGCCTCATTAAAAAGAGGATTGAAGGCCTTTGATGATAAACAGAAGGAAAGGTTCAAAAGGGCTCAAAGAGATTCTGCCAAATATTTGAAAAGTTGCCGATACGGTTCTCTAAGTTTGTCAAAAAACGCCCCTGTAAGATTCTTTTGGTCAAAATTTTCAGGCCGGTCTGCCCCTGAAACTATTTCAGACTTTTTGTTTCCAAATGCGATTTGGTGCGTCTCTATTAAGCTCAGTCCACTCGCTGGGGGAAAATGTAAGAATTGCTGGAATGTCTTGAGGCATTCTGAATTCAAGCTACTTACTTCATGAGTAACCTGTAGCCGACAAATAGTTCTTCTTCACAGTATCCTGTACTTATTCGCAACAAGTCTGGCCAAGAAGGCAATAATTTGAGCGTTACTCGGGCGGCACGTAAGCAAATTGCACCCACTTTTGATGGTGAATAATGAAGGAAACCTATTTCTGAAGACAAGACAGAAAAATTAAGCAAAAATTAGATTATTGACTGGGAAGTGTCAACACTTTTCAATTTTTTTTTCAATATACATTTTTCATTTCATAAAAGTCTATTTCTCGATTTCAAATCTTCTTCACTTCCAATCATTCAGTCCATCTACATTAATTTTAATTACTAGACTTGCAACTGATAGCTACATAGATTATGGCCAGCCAATCACGCGTAGACTTGTTGTCTCATCACCCGTGATGTCAGCAAGTCCATATAAGCGTGCGCTGTGCCCAAATCGAGGTCTTTTTTCCATCCCCTGGACCAGAGACACGTTGGTCCTCTCTCAATATCTCTTGACCAAAAGGTATCTTACATCTCTAAGATTCAAGTGCCACATTCAAATCCCTCTCATCAATAAGTGTCTAAACTTTAGGTGCATCATTGTGCGAAACCTCGACATTGTGTGGAATTTCGACTGACTTTTCAACCGCTTTTCTTTTCTACATTTTGTGCAACATTTACCTGTTATCTCGGATTAATACGGTGAAAAACTTTATCTCTTTCGTTTTCAACCCGTCATTCTTACTTTGTTGGTTCTACATTAATAAAAACCAGCTGGTGCACAAATCCGATATTATTTTGAACTTTATTTTTATCTCACTATCTTAAACTATAACATGGTGCCTCAACTAGTTTTTTTAATATTAACATGGTGGATCAACCACTCTTAACTTTAACAGGAAGAAACAATTAGAAGTGATGAAAGAAAAAATAGACTACTTCCAAGTTTTTCTGAATTCAAACAGAATAATTTTCAATAACTCCTTCCAATGTTCTACTTATTGTTGCGTCAAACTCAAGTTATAGCCCCTAAGCGCTGGAATATGCTAAAAAAGAACCATCATTTTTTACACCTTGACCGATTTCCGAAATCTTACTTCTTAGTTCTCGAGTAAAAAATTTGCAAAAATACAGTAGAACCATAAAAGCTGTGACTCCCTACCATGTCCTCCTAAAATTGTTTGAGGGCTTAAAACTTGAGGAAAAGACCGGGTATTATCTTATGACTGAATGCACTAAGTCCCATGTGAACATATTTGGACCCCTTTGGCACAAATCCCTTTCTATGAGAACAGGTTTCTTTTACCATAAATGCAGTTAAATTGGGTAGTAAGAGGTAATCAAAAAATATTTTGCAACCAAGTTTTCAGGTTTTTGGAGTATTTTCAAAAAATTTAATCACAACAGAAGTTCTTTCCTGCAGCATCAGACTGATAAGACAGATAGTCCTTGTTAGAAATGACATTATTGATCAATTTATTTGCAGACCAAATAAAATTTTTATTTTTATTTACCTCATTCCTTCCTTGTTGGGAAATTATTGCAAATTTTTTACTGATACAAAAAATATTTCAAACTGACGCTTAAAACCAAGGCACTAAACATTCCAAAAAATCTAATGATGCATTATTAGAAAGTGACATTAAAATTCACAGAAAAATGGAAAATTACCCGAAAAAGTAAGCAGTAAGTATGGAAAGTAGCACTGGTACAGGAATTGTGTAAGACAATGGCAAGCTTTCTACGTATTACAGAGCAACCAACCTGACAGCGTGACATCCAAATAGTCGTAAGTTAACCCTCGGACAATAGCCCTCAGATTTTTCAAACTGTACCCTAGAGTTTGAGATTCATGCAGAGAAATGGCGAACAAACATTGATGTTCAGCAAAATCCACGCCTGTTGGTATTGACAGTTGCCACTTAAAATGACTGAACAGTGTCTTCTCCAAAGTGATGAAGTCTTTTCGAGTAAATTCTACATCAATATATTTTTGAAGAGTGGAGAGTTTTGGGATGGACATTTCGCTTTCTTCGTATTTCGCTGAGAAAATAACAGAGAAAGAAGATTGAAGTAATTGCTGCATGAACACTTGGTGAATTGAAATTTCTCACATGCTAAATTTGAAGCTTGATAGCATCAAGGTTGCAACAGATCCTTACACAATCTTAGACATACAAGATTGTACAAGTAAACAATGATGAATAGACAGATACAGACTTCAAGAAGGAATTATTCATACATTTTTTAGTCTAAGGCAAAAATACATCATTTTCTGCAAGTTTAAAAAATTTTAAAAATTAAATCATCAGAAAAATCGCAATAAGCCACAATTAAAACTAAGAAACACCCAGAAACCGAGCATTTGTTGGACAAAATTAAGAGCACACCACAGCTTCTCAATTTCTTCACAAGGAATTGCAAATTGAAGGTTCTAACTTGGCAAAAAGTAAATTTTTAATCTTCCTAGATCTAGAAATCTTCTTTCCTAGAGTGTGATCCGAGGAAAGGTAAAAATTGTTGTTTTTTAATTAAGTTTTTTTAGATTTGTATTGTTGTTCACCACAGTGGGATGCAGTGCCTATTTGAAAAAAAACTCAGGACTTGAAATCTTGTAGAGTTTGAGTCAGAGTTTTGAGATTGTTAGATTATGTTTCTCTTATCCTATGGGTGGTTTCACGATAACATAGTTTTGTCGCAGTAACAGACAACACATTTTTTGGTCATATTTTTAGTAATAATGATAATCACTCAAATTTTTTTGCATTAATCTACACAGGGTTACGTATAATAACGCTTTTCAAAGATTTATTGCTCTTCTTTTCAATTTTTAATATATAAATGGCCGAAAATGTGCCGTCTATTACACTGACTTCTTACTTCTTACCGCGTAACAGACAGCACATTTTCCAAATTTACATGATATTAATTGAGAAGAAGAGCAATAAATCATTAGAAAGCGGTATAATATGTAACCCTTTGAAGATTAATGTGAAAAATTTGGGTGATTATCATTTTTACTAAAAATATGACCAAAAAATGTGTTGTCTGTTACACAACAAAACTATTCCAGTTATCGTGAAGCCACTCCTATAATCTGGTCTGAACTTTTTTGCATTAAATTATTACTATTTCTTTTTTCTAATATCTCTTTTTTCCTTTTTAATTTAATTTTAATAAGATGGTATCCATACAGTGTTGTCATTTATTTCTGTTTAATGCCCATTTTAAAAACTTGACTGGGATTTTTGTACTTTTTCTATCTGTTTACCTTGGTCTGCACCGCCCAACACAAGTTTTTAAGGGTGGTAAGCTGTTTCAGTTTTTTTGAATTTTTTGATTTTTTATATCAATAATACTTATTCTGTATTATGCCCAGTGAAGTGAAATAAACAAATTTAAATTGAAAAAAAAAAAAAAAACAATAAAAGAGTAAAAATCTATGATTAAATGAATACCTGCAAGTATGAGACAAACAACAGCAACCAATCTTAGGTATGGCTTACGAATGAAATTCCCTGCGTCCATGAACTGATCAATCATATAAACTGCTCGATGGCGTGTGATGTGTGTGAAATGCAACTCATCAGAAACAGCCTTTATGAAGTCAACAAGGCCACCACGAATGTTCAACTGAAACAAATAAAATTAAACAATTGAGGATTTAAATCTTTTCTTGATATTTCCATCTTATTTGTCTTGATGTCTTATTTCCGATATCTTTTACGAGATAAAAACTTTTGCAATTGAAAAGAGGCATTACAATTTTTTTCTTCTATAGAAAAAAGCTTACCTGAGAAGAACGGCAGCGAATGATTGGTCTTCTCTCCTCCTTCTGTTTCAAAACAGCATAGTATTCAAAAATGTAGTCCCTGACCCAAGAGTCAAACTTCTCGTGCTCTTCAGAAATCTAGAATCAAAGATGCCATCAGAATTGTACAAAATTAAATTTTCATGTTATACTGTTTGATATTTTCAAATTCACCTCTCAATCCAACATCGGTTCATACTATTTTTTAGCGTCATTCCCGTCTGATGAATAGTAATATTGAAATGAAAATGGATTCAATACAACTTGACTATGAACAGTGCAAAGTTAGCTGGCTTCATGAGCATTGAACCATCATTAAGTGCTTTAAGTTTACAAAGTTAATATGATCATTCTGATGTGACAAACTGACTTACTTAATAAACTTAGAGAAGGCTCAATTTAACTTGAAAAATTCTTGCTAATGATTAGACTCTATATCCATCAATATACTTAAGAACTACCTACGTATGTCAGTAAAAATACTTTTGAAGCCATTTTTGCCTCATCTTCGGCTTGCACTCCACCTGATATACATGTTGTTGTCATTGCTGAATTGAAGATAGTAAGTAGAGAGCTCACTAATGGTTACAGCTTACCGTTCATTTAATAATCCTTGGTTTCATGTATGCTTAAGGCTTGTGAGTCTTCAAACATATTAAACTTTTTTCTTTGGTCCTTAAACATAAATATGGCCTGGGTTCTTTTTCAAATTTGCGTCAGGGGCAGACTTAATTCCTCTCTCCATCTCCTCCCATTTCACCTCACTGAGACTAAGAAGAAAGTGATTAATGCCTAAAATTTGCCACAAGTCATACATTTGACCTCTCTGTTATGTCATCTCATGAATTACCTTAGGAAATCAATCCTTTCACTTTCACCTTATGAGTTGATAAGTTGGATGATCTAACGCTTGAAGAATGTACCAGAGGAGATCAATTGTTAGGGTAAACAATGATCAAAAATCTTCGGTACCACACGATCTCATGATTGCAATGCTTCAAGAGACGTGCACTCTTCATCATTGCTTTGATTACTTTACCACAATTGAAAGTCATTCTGATATCACAATCAAGTTTCAAGTTCCTCATTACATACTGGAATGAGAATCATATTCTCCGAGAGGCACAAGCACTCTTCATTTACTGGCAGTGAGGTGTGATAATAGAGAGCAGTACTTACTAAATACTAAAGGAGGGCGAAATATAGTTTCATGACAGGGCGATACATCAGGCGAGCCTTAAAAAGTATCATTTAGAGAAGTGAAATACCAACACTTACATCCATTGATACGGAGTAGATCTCCGTACATTGGGTCTTCCTATTTGTCAGGTCAGGTGCAACGGGTGCAACTAGCAAAGGAGTCGAATTTACCAGCATCCTTCGAATTGAATTGAAAGAAACCAACAGGAGAAGTCACACACGAAAAAACGAAGAGACATCACATTTCTGAACGAAAGAAATTTGCTTCCCCTCAAGATGCTAGCTTTTGAATAATCAACTCTAACTATACTGTGTCGTGTAGATGATGAAAGAATGTGTTATGATAACAGAAAGTAAATGCACGCGGTCGCGCGCTCACGAGTTAGCGAATTGCGATTGAAAAAACTGATAAGCGCAGAAGAACGCTGCAGAGGTAGCACTTTTTCCGTAACCTGTTGGGCTGACTTTTTGAATTCTCGTTATGCGCGGCTGGCTTGTGCGCAGCTCATTGCCATCATAATGAATCTTGTACCACAATTTCTATTAACTCTATCTTTGAAAAGCAACCACAAATTCAATAGAAAAATGGATTATATTTACCCAAGTAACGTATTCTAAAAGTTTAAAGGAAAGGAATCCAAGAAATACGTCTAGAGACAGAGAAGGTAAAATCTTACTTTGCGGTTAGAAACCCTAAGCCTGACAGTGCATTGTTGATGATGAAGGTGGTATTTCTTGATGAATTGGCGGGAGTATTCAAATTTTGGCTCCTGCAAGAGGATTCCGCGGCACGAGGAGAGGGGAGGGGTAGAGTTGAACAGAAACTCACTAAGTTTGAAGCGAGAAAAAAAGTCTGAGATTTTACTTTTCCGTAAAACTCAATGCTAAGGACGATGATTGAAGAAAAGTTTCATGATAAAAATATCTTCTCTTGTCTTATAATTTTTGTTAGGAGAAAATTTACATTCAGTTGAGTTTAAAACGACGACTCCTGCCTAACCCATTTTTCCCAGAATGCGATGTAACTATACTATATGTCTTAACTCTGGGTATAAAGGGACTCTACCTCCACCAAATCCTCATGCCTCATGGTCTCCCCAAGGAAATATTAACTATTTAAAGCTCTGTGCCACTGGGTTCTCACAATGAGTAAATAGTCTCAGAGACCGTCCTCCCCTCCCCCCTCCCCCTCCACACGACCTAGGAAAATTTTCTTAGCGCACTTATTTATACAGGGTAATTCACTGTAACACCTAACGAAATGGAACCACTGTGGTTGCATGGCTGTCTGAGCTTCATACACCTACCCTAGTTTTCAATAATATAAATTCAATAGTAATAAATTGAGATTAAGTAAGTAGCTGTTTAATGTTAAAAAACGGGCTGACTAAAATTTTGGATATTAATTGGTATGTTGGAGTTTTTTTAGCCAACGTACGTTACAAATTCAGCATAAAGCTGAAAATCTCAATACAGAGGGGAAAAGCTCATATAGCACAATTTTCCCTCAAAGAGATATGCTGTTTTTTGCAACACTAGTTACAACCATCCAGGAAGGCAACTGCAGATGAATTTCGGCCTTGTTGGGCCGATCCTCCAAGCAGCGCAGCCTCCTGGATTTCCTACTACCAAGCTCGGGGAGGTCTTGAAAACCTGCCCGAGACTTGGGCAAGCTGTCGCTGGCACAAGTAAACTTGCGCTATCTAGGGAGCGATTTTTAACATACATTGGCGAAAAAAACTCCAATTTACTGTCTTGCGACCCGTGCATCCACCGCAATCAGTTTGTATATTAATTAGGTATTGAAAAAGGTGAAGAAATGGTTCTGGGTCCGCACAATTTTGCGGGGAAAAGCTATTAAATTAAAATTTATCGCTATCAACTTTGTATTCTTGAAAACTCTGCTACATTTGACAGGTTTTTCCCCTGCTCCGTCTTTTAAGCACTACTTTCAATGTGATTGCTAAAGACAAAAGATGGAAAACTTTTCTGAATAGGTACCACATAGTCCACCCCCTTCCCTTCGATGTTGCTTAATGCTTACTAAGACAATCGTCTAACTCTTTGGAGCAACTTTTAACCTAGAGAAGGTCCCATGTATTTATTCCAGTCTTCTTATTCCAAACATGAAGAAAAAATTATAGAAATGTGCAAGTGATATCATTATAATGGTAAAGATTCAATGGTATTTTAGAAAGCTATTGGAAATTGACCTTACACAGAGTAAAATTTATTTGCAGGAATCACTACTATTTTTGCTTAGTAATGTCTGAGCAACGTTTGAAAGGATCTTCTAATTGAACAAGACCGATCATAACAAACTACATAGGTTAAGCTCATACATCAGTCAATACTGGCAAAGATGAATGCCTAGAAAATTTTTTTGTTCCACCTATTTACATTGTTTTAACAGACTCAAGGTCTTCAAAATATTTTATCAGTGATTCTTCAATATTGCCTGACAATACGGCACTTTTCAACAATAGAGAAGCCAGAACATCTCATTATTTAGACAGCATTATTCCTCAGCACTGCAGTACATGATGCTGATTAATAGTTTCAAACGCTACATGGAATACGTTGTCAATCACAGATCATTAGAAGTTCTACTTTCTAATTGTTAGGTAAACTTGAGAAAATAATCTTGGGCATCATAATCAAGTAAACATTGTAAAATCAAAATTAATTTGGATTTTTTTTTCATTCTTTATTGAAAGAGTTTCCCAGGTATAGGTTTAATAGACAGATATTGTAAATCTCTCGTTTAGAGTACCTAAAAATTCCTTTCTAATTTCTTGACAAAGTTGAATACTGATTGTGAATAAGAACGTAAATTTTCTACGCTGGATCTGTTCCATAAATCCATACCTACCTACAATCTAAAAAAAAAATATGTTTAAACATTAAACATTTGGTAAAATCTTTCCAAATACTAAAAAAATTGCAATAAGAAAAAGCCACAAATTAACGGGAGAAAACAACTGGGTTTACTGGAGTCTTTCAGACAATCAGACAATTACTGACTAAACAATAAATTGAGGAGAAATTTGTACGGAAAATATTGAAAAAGAGAGAATATAATGAGATCAATTACTTTCAGCGAATAACACTTGAAAAATCGTTTAAATATGATAAAGCCAACAAATTATGGTAAAGCTAATAAAAAAAAAAATTCAAATGGCCTTAAGAGACATGAGCATTTTTTAATAAATTAATACAACAAAATACTTGATAAAATAGAAGTGAAACTGATAACAAACAACCACGGTGAAATTGCAGAAATGGTGCATCTCGTCTGCGGTGTTTCAAAATCTCCTCTCCTACTTTTGTTTTTGAAGGGAGACCGAAGCAACATTATGGCTCAAAATTTTCACCGCATTTTCTCCACAGGGAGAAGAAAAATTACCAAAGTTTCCAAGAAATGATGTTTAATAGTTTTCCGAGTAGAAAATGAAGTACGATAGGAAGTTTGCAACGCTGAAAACAGAGATACGCATTTCTGCAGTTTCATCATTCATAATAAATACATATAAAAAAATATGAATAACAAAAAAAAATTAGTTAAAACAGAGAAGTAACAGAACACAGGTAAGACAATGATAACAATGGAAAAAAAGTATTAGTAAAAATTTGAAAAAAAAATAACAAATTTTGGTATGAATGAATACATGTAAAAAACAGACATATTGAAGGTATGTTTGTTGCAAATTATTTTCTTTCACTTTTTTCTATTTTTTCATTGCCATCAACTACACATAATAGTCTGAGTTAAGGTTTTCAATGCTTCTAGAAAAAAGGAAGAAAATAAAAATTCTATCAAAGATATCATTTGACTGATCTTTTCTTATAAATACTCTATGAGACGCTTTGGTAAGATTAATCAGGGAACAAATGTTAAATTAAAACTTGGTCAATGAAAGACAATCCAATAACTACATAACTGAGATCAATAGCACTCTTTCAGAAGTGGGAAAAACCTTGCAAAAATTTAAAATACCGATGTGCACAATTTTTTTATCTTGCAGTGCAACTATAATTTTTGCAACGGTCATTTTAACAATCAATAATCCCTTAAAAATTAGACAACAGGAATGGCAGAGATCAACATTAAAGAAGAAAAAAAATCAGTTTATCAAAAGAGGAAACTAAATATTTTAAAATCTTCAGGATCCCAATTTCTCTATAATCAGTTTTGCTTCAGTGGCAAACCAATGACAAACTAAACAACAAAAACTGTAAAAAGTAAATAGACAAAAAACAAAACAAGAAAATTTTCGGATGATAATGAGCCCCTGAAATTTCAATGATTTGGTCTAGCTGTTGAGACTGAAAATTATTATAATATCTGATCCTCTGGATGAAATTTTGCTGACCAATGAACAAATCCTAACTGCGTGGCTTCCGCCAGGCTTCTAGCTCAGTCTCTAGTGCTCTGACTGTTCCCTCATAACCTGCCACCTTATCCTCTAGCACCATAATATTCTGCTTTAGACCTCCTACCTGCGCCGCATGACGCTCAGCCATTGATAACATCTGTGTCTCAACTTTGCGAACACGTGTCTGAAGCTTCTGGTTACACTTGTCTAAACTATGCGCCAAAACCGCATTCACCGTTTTTAGCTGATTCACTCGCTCACTCAGCTGTCGCTGCTTCATCTCAGCATTACGTGTTACCCGGTCTAATGTGAGTGCCACCTCTTTTAATCTCTCTTTCAGCCGAATTTCAGCTGCATCTCCTCGATCACAGGTTTCAGCACCACTCTGAGCTAGGGCTTGATACTGCAGCTGCTGTGAAAAAAGCTTCAATTCTAATTGCTCACGTTCTTTCTCTGCTCGAAATAACTGTGCTTTCAGCTCAGCTTTTTCCTCACGCATGGCCATAAGCTCTTGCATCAACACTGCTGTCTCAATATCCAGCTTCCTGGCCTCAGTGACGCTCACTAAGTTTGCAGGAGGCTCTCCAACGTGTGATTCTAGCTTGACAACTGTAGAGGTTAATGAGTTCTGTTCGTTTTGAAGTTTTGACAATTTGCTCATTAGTTTTTCTTCTTTATGCTTAGGACTTTTCTTAGCATCACGGAGGGTGCGGTAGATATCTATAATTTGATTGCTTTTGTCAAGAGCCTGTTTCAGGGCAATGATGTTTGATTCGTACTTACCAATGAGGATGCTGAGTCGAGTACAATGAGATTTTGATTCGTCAAAGTTTAGTTGGAGAAGAGCATTTTGAGATCTGATGTGCTCAAGCTTGGCATTCAAGCGCTCCATTTCCACTTCCAGCTCGTGCTTTTCTTTGAGTTCTTGAATGTCGCAGTTTTCCTTCAGGTCTGAAACAAGGTGCTCAGCAACCTCAGTTCGAGATACCTGCAACATTCAATTTTCCATGGATGAATTAATACATATATTCGAACCACAGAGTAAACTAACAAGTGCTTGGTCATAGAAATGTGTATTTTTTTAATATTTACTGATGGTGCATTACTTATTCTCATTTGGACAGATTTATGCTAAAAGGAACCATGTGCAAGTGAAAAGATGGTATGTGCTCCTGGTGAGCTGGATAAGAAACAATGTAAAAGTGGATATAGTTTCTTTTGAGAAAATGGAAAAACGGGATTTTACATTAAATCAAAAGGAACTGAGTGCTAACTTGTGAGCCGTGGACATGTGACAAAAGCGTTGTGGACAGGGCTCATGAGTTAATGCTCCGCAGCAGCGGCTTCTTCACCCCTGACCTCTCTGATGCTTTAAAACTCCCATTCATTCTTACGGCCCTTAACGAATGAGCACACCCCATCTTTCTATTTGTGCATAGTTCCAATTCTCATAAATACGTCTATTTGATTCAATACCTGCATACTCTTCCTACAGTTTAGTATAATTAGAGGATAGTTTACAAAAACAACACACAAAATCAAATGGACAACAGTCACAAACCACTCTGGGTCAGGGATGTAACCATAAGTTCTATAGGGGAGGGGAGAGGGGTGTCCACAATCAAAAATTAATTGTGAGAAGTGTCCTAACATGAAATAAATAGGAAGCTCCACAGTTCATGCAGTATCGAAAGATTTTGAGAATTAATATTAAATACAAAAACATGTGATAGTGAGTGAATAAATTATGATAAAGAAAAAATACTAGTCAAGCATGACTTTTAGCCTATTTTTAATACTGCAAACTTTTCATAAAAAAGTCTGCACTCATTTTATTTTTCTGACAGAAAGCAATTAAAAGTTACAGCTTAAACTTCACTATTTTTCTCCTTCATCATAACATGATCATCCTGCAAAATTACAAGCTATCTTATTTCGTAACTTGGTTTTCTTTGAGAAAATTAAATATGCACGGATATTTTGAAACACAGCAATTGAGATCCTAATTTCGAATTTTAGCCGCCAAGTTAGGCGATGAAAATAAATAAAAAGATGCTTTTTTAGACACTTATAGCAGGCTGTCCTATTTCTGTCTTTAAAATTATAACTTGCAGAGTAAGGGTAGGACACCTAAGACAAGCAATTCCGCAGCGCAAGTTGGCAACCAAAAGTGACACAAAGGAACTCAATCAGATTTCCTGGATTGTCGCACCACAGATTGTTTTGTGGTGGCTGATTTGAGCGGCAGAATTGCCCATCTTGCTTGCCGTGTCTTCATACAATATTCAAGCAGACAAATTTCGAATTAAAAAGCACTTACCCCTAGATTAGAAATCAGATATCCAGTGACTGGCCTGTCCATAGTTTTCAGTTTGATTCTTTCAGCTACTTTCAAAATTGGCACCTGGTTACCAGGAGCTACTTTTGTATCACATCTCTGATGTTTATTATACTCAAGTTCGCTGCTCAGCATCGATAATGCTGCATGCAGCTCTTCAATTTCTGTGTCTTTTCGCCTCATTAATTGTTTCAGCTCAATGATCTGAGACTCCAGCAGTCCATTTTGTACACTGTCAGTATCTACATTGCTTCTACAATCAGAGAGTACTTCTGGGATCCGATTTCCTCCCTGGTTACTTAGATTACTCTGACATCTTAGCCTTCCAGATAATTCAGCAATGACGTCATGCAGTTCTGCAATTTTCCCTTCTTTTTCAAAATTCAAGTTGGACTCCTGCAATTCCTAGTAAAGAAAAAGAATCACCGTTTAGGTTGCAAATATAAAAGCAATTATTGAGGAAACTCTGATGAAAAGGTATTTGAAAGAATGTACATTTAACATTTTCATATTAAGACTTTTATAGGCGCTATAATGAGCTCTCTTCAATATTATTGAAACCAGTCACTCAGAAATTTTTACTCGTTGAATTTAAACCATTTCAAGGAGCTATAACCATTATGGCAAAAACTCTGTTTTTAATAGATTCTTACTCTCATTAAAGATATGTTATGAATGTTAAAGACAAGATATCTCACAGATAAACTATTTCTCACTAAAAGATACCAAAATCAAAAGAAGCAAAGCAGGTGATTTTCAAGTCTCTTGAAAATCTGACCATCTGGATATTCTAAATTTTATTGCATGCTTGAACTTTATACACATAAACATGAAGTTTGAAGATGAATTCACACCAATCGGCAAACCGAGCTTAGTTCAAAGTCATTGATATAACTGAGAACACTAAATCAGTGTCATGCTAACGTAATATTGCTTACTTTTCATATAATCAATACAATCTCTCTATGGCAGTACTTACTTTGTTCTCAGAGGTTTTCAATTGGAGAGCAGCTAAGGACTGAGCTACTTTCTCTAATGACAATTGTAAACATTTTGCTTCTGACTGTAAATCTTGCGCCTCTTTGTGGAATTCCAAATTTTCTGGCCTCCCTGAAATTAAAGAAAAATAGAAAGAGTGAAGGAAATGCTTCTTAATCTTGAAATTCATTAGACTGAAGGAGAAAATAAGACACAAAGTAGACACTTGCCTGTTAAAATAAATTGAGACTGATTAATATCTATGAGCCAAGCAGAGCATGGCAACTTGTAAAGGAACAAAGCTACTGGTTGGAAACAAAACCACTGATTGAACACAACCTTATAGATAATTTCAGAGCACACGAAGATTACTGTGAAGCAATAGCAGGTTAGTTGCAACACTTGCTTGAAAGTGACGTTATAGTGGCCTTTTTGGATAAATTGAGACCAAGCATTCAGAATAGTTGTAGTCTCACTGTTACTTTAACTATCTTTAGACACATCGGGTCCTTTGAGATGTGATTAAAGTATGAATATGCTCTCTGTGACTCATTTCAAACCTCCGAATTTCTGAATGCTACGCATGCCTCCTGACATCATCTAATGCAAAGATATGAGCAAAAAAAGGATTGCAAAAATGAAAAATCTACCACAATATACTGTAAAATAACAAAAGTTCATACCATTGGTGTTTGGAATGTTCTGTGGCTGCTTCAAAACTCCTGGGCCCCCGTCTCCACTTCCTGATGCATTCAGATGATTTTGAATAAAATCAGCATAAGTCATTTCATGATCATCATCGTCGTTAATGAGTTGTAGGAGAGTTTCACTCAATGTTTCTTGCAATATAGATGAAGTTTGGGTTGAATTTTGCCTGGAAATTGATGCATAAATGATGAGTGAGACAACGAACTTTAAAAAATTTGATTAAGGTCGGCAAAAATTAACCAGGAAGTATTTTCCAAAAATATTCTGGAGCTATTTTGTGCAAAGCCGAGTCAATGCTGAGATGAGTCAAAGGACCTGTAAGGAGTAAATAGAGTCCACGCTAAATGGACTGAGTTAAGCAGAAAGGAACCAACCCACATTTTAGAAAAAATTGAGTTATGAGTGGTTTTGAACCCAACCACTGCTCTAGTATCAATCGCCAAAAATTCAAAGTTTTTGTTGGAGCAAATTTTGCAGAAATTGAACTTGAAGTTTAACTTTTACATTGAGTCTTATGCAGGAGCCAAACTTTAAACCTCTTTTTCTCGGTTCGATCCCGATGTGGCTTGGTTCCTTTCTGTTTAACTCCGTCCAAATAAGACTGCCACAGAAGATTTTCTGACGTCACTTCTTTGTGTAAAAAAAGTACAAGAACCAGGATGGCAGATCTTCTGTGACCTTATTTGCTACTGACTCGGTTGAAAATTCAGCAATGTAAGAGGACAGAATCTTACTCTATAGTATAAAATCATAAGGGTGCCGTGTCACGCTGAGGGTGTAACGCTAATCATGTCACAAACCGGTTTCTCCTCCACTCCCTGCTCCCCTCCCGCCGCGCACGCTCACATGCTTCCCGCCGTCTCCAAACCGGGTTTTCCCTAACTCTTAATGATCTTTTAACGATCTCACGATATCTGCTTATTAGAGGCGCGAAGCGCCTCTGGGGGGTTGGACCGCGGAGCGGCCAGGGGGCACAGCCCCCTAGTTCTCTATTAATTTTCATGGAGGATTGAAACTTTTGGCAGATTAAAAAAAAAAAAAAACAGAACTCGATTAAGCATATTTAACTGAGATTAGCCTGACTACATTAAATGTTGCCTTATTTCCAACTGGATGGTGTCGTCTAGTTCTTGAGTTCTCTGTTAAAAAAAAAAAACTTGAGAGGAAATTAGGGAATTTGAAATGTCATAAGGCTGATTATGGTTAAAGATTTCCGTGTTGATACTTTCATTTAAAGAGAGACAGATGAACATTGTCACTTGAAATTTTCCTTCAGTTTGATATAGGATGAAGAAAAGTCATCATGTTCCTCAGATAATAAAATTTGACAAAAATTCAGGACAATTGCCGATCCAGATCCATATTTTTCCTTGAAATTCTGATGAAACCTTGAAATGCAACTAAAAATTACAATGAATTGACAAGATTTGTGAGACTTTGTGGTGTGGAGATTTCGTTCCACTACAGGTTATTTGGTCAATGATAAATTCATTTTAAATCAGTCCTAAAAATCCAATTTGACAGCTTGCCAAAATTTCAAGAGGCTAAGCTGGCTGTTAAATCAGATCATGCCTCCATCTGAGGAAAAGGGAACTAGGCAGATATAAAGGTACATTCTGGGATGATCCAGTCAAGTAATTCCTCGGTCATAAGGTGTGTCCGTGATAGAAAACAAAGATTATTTCAATGAACTAACGGCGGAGTTACCTGGTGTACAAATGAGGCCTAACTACTGTCGTGTACTGAGCTACTGCAGCAATATACTGCCATGACACTCACTGGGTAAAAAGCATTGCTTCAACGGAGGTTCAAGAACAATCATCAAACTCGCAACGCTTTCACCTGGTAATTTACGTTGAGGCCTGTTGTTTATCACAAACGCACCTATATATGTTGATCATATCTGACGCTCCATCAGTTTCTGAACAACAGAGGGGAGATCCGGAGAGATCAATGACTATCTGGACCATTGGAAAAATGCCATTGAGAGAAACAATTATTCAAGTGTGAGCCTGCAATTCCGGGTATTCATTTTCCATCGATAAAGACAAAACTCTTGTGATCAGCCTGCCGATTTGAAAGAGCTCTCCAACATAACCTTAAAAATATTCTAGGTTGTACCAAAATTAGACTAACAAACAGTGCAAGTTAGGACCACAATAATAACCATTGGAATTTCTTTAAAGCTGGACATACCTAAGACCAATGTCATGTGTTGTGTTTCGATATGAAGCATCATCTGGGTGCTCTTGTCTAGCGTCACTTGTTACTGTGGAAGTACTCCTTGCCTGCAGCCCATCAGCCATTGAAGACACAGATTTTCACTCAAGTAATCGATTACTTACTTTGTAAGAACCAAAAGAATTAATTTTCATTTGATACGAGACTAATTATGACTTAAAAGTGTTCAGACAACTAACTAATCAACTGATAATTATTATTGTTTACATGTAGAATGATGTAGAGTGTAGAGAATTAGAGATGGAACACGTCCGTGAAGCTGCCAATGAAGATCCCTGCCAAGAAACTACTACTTTTTGAACACCCAGTACATATCGATATATATCGAAACGAAATGTAAACATATAGTGGCAATGAGTGGTTCCCAATCCCAAATGAATACTGATAAGAATTCACCAGAAGCATGGGTTGCATGCATTTGCATGCAAATTTGAACGACATCGAACGGTTACTTATATGTTTTCAAGCTGAAATCGCGTGTAGCAGTGCACTGATTGTGNCCACATTTGAAGGCGTTTTCGAAACTGCCAACTTTCCAAATCAGCAACCTTGCGTCGCATTGATAGGCGTCAACCAAAACTGACCAGCAGGAATTAAGCACTTTTGCAGCCCTTCTTCAGTACATAAACTATAGATTCAGTTCCTCAAAAGCAGAAAGAATGCAGTACTTTTTCGATGCCCTTTAAGTTGATTGTTGAATTGAGTTCATATTATTCAGTTATATTTCTTCCTGCGCTTGATTATTTTTAATCCTTCTAAAAATTGATCGAATTGCGTAATATAAGCCTAGCTTGAACACTTTTAGTCCTCGCGGTCAAAACTGCAACAGCGATAAAGGAACACTGACAGGGCCGCAGCGTTGAGGCTGATTTAATATCAATCTTCCATCGCATTGCGAAGGCGCAATGATACAACTATACGTACTCTCCGGAACGCGTGAGGTATCACGCCACATTTGAAGGCGTTTTCGAAACTGCCAACTTTCCAAATCAGCAACCTTGCGTCGCATTGATTGGCGTCAACCAAAACTGACCAGCAAGTATTAAGCACTTTTGCAGCCCTTCCTCAGTACAAGCGGGATCGTTATTCCTGCGAAAAATAGTTTTCCGTAACCCGCCATACACTTTAGTGCACCGCTATAGTGGCCACAGAATAATATCTCTCGTAGCGACTCTACATTCACGACTTATCAGTTATCAGCGATTGGGAATCCCACGTTTATTTTCTTGCTTTTTTCCTCTTTCCCCTACTTTCATCGTTGTCTTCTCGGTCGGGCCAGTCGGTGATAGCTGTCTTTGAGGCTTCCCTCCGGTTCCATATCTGTTTCCAATTCTTCACCACACCGCAATCGGTGGCGAGGCGTGATTAATCGATTATCGATATTTCTCCATTTGAAGCCATGGTAAAGAATCGATTATTAAGGTGTAAATACCCTGTCTATCGATCCTTTTCCATAGGTTTATATGGGAGATCAATCGATATATCACGAAGCATGCCACGCCACTGACCGTAATAGTGTTGAGAGGTGTGAGCCACAACGTGGACAGATTGAATGAGAAATGGATCTTGAAAATAAAAGTTAGGTTCATGCTTAAGCGCCTGCAGTAGGTCATCTACAGCCAAGGGCAAGCTATCAAATATTAATAGCATATAACTAGATTTTTTTTTTAGTTGTAATTCAAAATTTTCGCTATTATTTTATTTTTTAAATAAATATTTCGTGTCCAGGCAGTTATGCTGGTATGGACATGTGCAATTGTGCAAAGAATGTCGGAGGAGAGGTTGCCCAAACAAGTTTTGGATTGGATACCACCTGGGAAGAGGCGACGGGGACGTCCCGTAAAGGGTTGGCGGCAGAAATATTATGCACCGTTTTCCCAAAAAAATTGAATCAAAATTGAATATCCCCACGAAAAATTCCACTTTTTTTTTGAGAAACCTAATTTTGTGGGAAGATAATGGGTCATCGCAAAAAAACCAAGGTCAATTTTGAACTCAGCAATACAAATTACATAGAAGCTAGTCAACTATCTAGTCTACTATAAAGTCCGCCGTGTTCAGATTTTTTTTTCATTTTTGGAGACCATTTTTGGCATTTTGACCGTCTTTTTTTGATGGTTTAGTTAGTAACAAAGATTTGACGCTAAATGTTAACGCCTAACATGGAGATGGATTAATGGAGATGTTGCATGTGTGAGGAATTTGCGATTTGACTATTGATTCCTATGTAAAAGTTCGCGAGAAACACGATAGTCCCACTGATTTTCTCTGAAATCAACTTCCAAGCTCCAAAAACGCTCTCAAAGTTGAGGCTGTAATGATCCTGAGAGTCCACGTCTACGTAAAGACAAACTCTCCATGCAAAGATAGGGAGCAAATACATTAGCAGGGTAACTGAAAGCACGGCAACCCTCAGGGTTGTCGTGCTTACAGTTTTAGAGTCCCTAAGTAAAGTGACAACCCTGTCAATGTATTTGCTCTCTATCTTTGCATGGAGAGTTTGTCTTTACGTAGAGGTGGACTCTCAGGATGGCGTGGGATATCCCCTTCATTACGCCCTCAACTTTGAGAACTTTTTTTGAGCTTAGGGAAAGCTGTGGCACTATCGTGTTTTTCGCAAACTTTTACGTAAGAATCAATAGTCAAATCGCAAATTTCTTACACATGCAACATCTCCATTAATGATTAATCCTTACGTGGAATACCGATATTCAGTCATCCTTGAAAAAATTAAAAGACATGTTCCTGAAAATTTCCAACAAAGCAATCTGAGGTATATGATTCCGTAGTATCACCAGCGATACCTTTTCTTGACCAGATCACCCTAAAGTACTTTTTTTAACTTTGTATGATGAACATAACTACAAATTAATATGTGTTTTTATATTAACTATTTACACAACTAAAAATTTGAATGGGCGAGTTGTTAAACTCTAGCTTAATTTAAATCGATAAATAGGGACTATTAACAATGATAATGTTAACTATTGTCCCTGCTTTGCATCATCCAGAAGGCACCCTTGGGGCAAGAGAAGGCCACCAAAATTTATTCTGGACAATACTGTGGTTTCCTTTTCTATTCAAACTTTTGGTGAAATTCTCAAGCAGATCATTATCATTTAAGTGTTTTTTGATGAGTATTTCTGAAAACAAGCAAAGAAAGAGAAATTGTATTATTCTTCTTAAATTACCGAAAACTTTAGAGAAAAATTGGAATGGTGAAATTAGACCTCCTAAGTAGAAATAATAATAGCCCATGCCTTTATGCTCATAATTTCAATATGACTAACTTCATACCCTAGTATTCTATGCTGAACTTTTATTGAAAAAACCTGAAAAATTTGGCTGGGGTCTTCTACTACATGAATTCGTTACATATTTTGATCAAAACTAACACTGGGCTTACTGCCAAAGCCTGAAATTCACTCCTGCTTGACTGACAAAACTTGTTAACAATTACCACGATTTGAGTTTCCTACGAAAGAGATGCATTAAAATTACAGACTAAGTTTTGCTTAAGGAGACCACCCTTACGGAAAAGAACTCCTCGTTACCAGCAAAAGAAGCCACCGATTTGCTGCGAGAAGAGCTCCCAATGCTCAACTTCAATTCACAATCGTGCAGGGTCGGACTGGCTCGCATCTGAGGGCGTAGGCCCTTGGCTGGTTAAAGGGGCGTAATGTGATATTTTCTGATGGGGCATCCCCTCCGTGGAGAGGGGTTCAGAAAATTTTGGCAAAGCAGCACAAGTTTACGCTATTTTCAGGTTCAAAGTTTATTAATCGTACTGAGTAAAAATTGTAAAATTGAAAGTATTGAAGTGACCGACAGACTTCTAAAATTTAAGAAAACATAAAAAATTAAAGCCACTAGACATATCCAAGCACCATTATTTCCATGAGAACCGCGTCAGTGCTGCGGTTTACACGAGCTTAAGACGTGGGTCTAAAAATCCATCCTGAAAAAGAATCAGGCAAGAAGCTGAAAAAAAGAAGAAAGAACGAGTATCAACACAGCCGAAAACAGGAAATACGTATTCGGGCCTCTTTTTTAACTTTTCTCCCGAATCTGAGCGACACCTCATTGACAGCATATAGCAGAGCATTGAGAACTCACGCTTCGCGTCATCGCGCCTTCAATTTTTCAGATGCAGCACGGACGTCCATCAAGTACGAATAGTTGTATCTCTCCGCCGTCGTTAACGCGAATCCTTTCCCTCCCTCTATTTCCATGTTAAGTTTGTTTCCGTTTGTCTTATTCGTAATGTTGCTTTAAACTAGAGCGGGGCATTGCGAGTTCACGACTCACGCCATCGCGTCTCACATTTTTCATATGCAATCCATCTTGCGAGAATAGTTGTATCGCGTTTACACTTTAGATGTCTCTTTCTTTTGAATTTCGAAATAAATTAACGTTAAGTTTGCCCGAGATATGCTATGAATAACGTTTGGCCCACCGTCCACCCTGAAAAAAATAATTTTTTCTATTTTTCTCATTATTTCCTCCTGGTTCCTAACAATGGGCGAGATACTTTCGACCAAATTTAACTAATATTGAGGATTTAGATTTCTTCAATAAATCTTCAAGGACAGGCGTGTAAAATATAGCGTAGAAGATTTTATTTATTTTTATTCAATTTTTCTACAATTAGGTCAAATGAAATATAGAAATCTCATATGGAGCTAGGTTGTATCTTCGAAAGGCTTTTGGATTCAACTTTTTTATTTTGTTGGTATTGATGTATTTTTGTTATACTTTGTTTTTACATTTCTGTTGACTTATGGGTTTTTTTACTAAATTCTGTTTCATTTCTACTCCTCTACTGATGATATAAATTATTTTAATTTCAAAGATACAAAACTTACATCCCTCTTTAGGAGTTTTCTCCTGATTGATTTATTCTTTGAATTGGCCACATTATTGGAAGAAACTCATTGCTTGAGACAGTAAATACGATTATTTTAAATTTAATAAAAATCTTCATTAGCATAATTTAGTACTATTCACGAAAGCTTCTTTAAGAGCAAAATATTTCATCCACAAACGACTGTCCCCCCCCCCTTGCTTGCATGGCGCCTTACACTGGCGCCTAGAGCAATGGGTCTTCTGTCCTCTTCGAAATGAAATTAAACTAACCGACTGTTGACCCAGTGAGACAAGTCTTGTCTTCCGTATCAGTAAAAGTGGGCGACGGATTCGATCAGATAAGGCACGTGATCGTATATTCCGGATAATCGCAATTTGATGCATGCTGCAATGAGGGGAAACGAAGATGTGAGAGATACGGTCGGAGAAGGTGCGATATCAATGAGAGGAAAGGCTTTCTTCACTAACATGACTTCGGGCCCGGGTAATCTCCTGTGGTCAACTGAGTCGTGTACGGCGGGTTACGGAAAACTATTTTTCGCAGGAATAACGATCCCGCTTGTACATGAACTAAACATTCAGTTCCTCAAAAGCAGAAAGAATGCAGTACTTTTTCGATGCCCTTTAAATTGATTGTTGAATTGAGTTCATATTATTTAGTTATATTTCTTCCTGCGCTTGTTTATTTTTAATCCTTCTAAAAATTGATCAAATTGCGTAATAAGCCTAGATTGAACACTTTTAGCCCTCGTGGTCAAATCTTGATATAATCAGTCACCGATTTCTCTCTTCCCCTCCCCTCCCCTCACACGAGGCGCGACGGGCTGGCGCCACTCAGTCTAGTGACTTAATCTTCAACCCTTTGATCTGCCGCACCTCATAGAATTAGGTTTCCTCCCAAAGATAAATATTCTTCCAACTCCCCTGCTGACCCACTTTTGCTGACCTACTTAGGTTTGTAGACTTGCGGGGGTGTTCTCAAAACTGAATCACGTGTTGGTGGTTTTTTTTTCTTTTTCTTTTTTTTCACATTTTCTTTGCGGTTACCACCAACTTCAGCAAAGCTTCTACTGAGCTGAACAATCTCGTTTCCTGTTTCCATTAATTTAAACTTCTTGCTCATCGAAAATATTAATATGATGAAATGAAATAAAATCACTGAAGTTCCCTTGAAATTGCGGATGAATATTGGGTTCATCCTTAAATTACGGAAATTCGAACGCACGGGATTTTAA